ACACACACACACACACGCGTGGGCACGTGCATGCATGGATGCCTACACGCACGCACACACGGACATTCCCTGTCTCTTGCCACATAATGTCCTGTACCACATCAGGATATTGCCAACAAAAGGATATTACTAGATGTGGCACTCAACCTTAGACCTCTAGAACTGTAAGCTAAAATAAACCTCTTTTCTTTATAAAGCAGCTACTTTGGGCACTTCATTACAGTAACACAGAAAAGACCAATAGAAAGGAGAATAGCTTTATCTGCTGGAATCTTCCTCCACAGAAGAATATTTAGTATCCTTCCTACATGATGGTTCTTCCCAAAGATAAGCAAACAAAAAAGTAACCTAATTTTCCACAAAGGACAATTGGACAAATATAATTGAAGAGATATGTTTGTATTTTGGTTAAATAGAGTAAAAAAAAAAAACCCCTAGGAGTTAATAAGCTTATTTCTTAAAGTAGCAAGGTTATGAGAAAGGAGCCAGAAGAACACATGGCCTGCTCTGAAGGCTTCCACAAAGCAAAGACAGTAGGTGAAAATAGACACACAGCTGTGGGCTGGGACTTACGACTTGCTTGGATGATGTTCTGAGAAAATAGCTCATGTCATAGGGTACTGAAAATCAGCACTCAGGAGCTACTTCTCACTGTGATCACTGCATGCCATGCCAACGGTGGGAGCACCCTCCCAGCAGACTACCGTGAAAGAAGAGGCCATAGCGGGTGCTGTGTCACTATGCACACCCCCTGGTTTAAGAGCCAGGAAGTTAAGCATATGTCATCCAGTAATAAATGTTTACTAAGAGCTAATCTTGATTAGACAATATGGTTAAGGGTGGTAGGAAGCGGTCCCACTAATAGGGCATTTAGGTTCCACAAACATTCCCATGAAGCCAGGTGCCAAGAATAGAGATACTAACACCCTTAAAAACCAAGACCAGTGTCTGGAGCCCAGCACAACCTTAAAATCCAAAATGGAAGCCAATAACTCTCAAAATCTCCGAATTTGTACACAGTTCCATGCCCCCTGTGAGAATAGACCCAGGACATGAGGAGGGCAAAAGGCTCCAAGATTTCATGAGGTTTGTTCAGTCTTTGTCAGGAAGATCTGCTCTGTTTTGAACTCCTTGGTTTCCAAGCAAAGAACACTCTGTTTAATTTTATCAGCCATAGATCACCAGAGGAACTATCAAATGGTTTGTCCACCTGTAATACAGAAGAGTTTTCTGAGCCATGGGACGAGGACAAGGTCCAAGTCTGTCCTCGGTGTGAGCTCCTATACTCTGAAGGGAGGCCCATGAGGAACGTCAGTGACTGTGAAATGAATGGATGGATGAAATAAGCTTCAAATATCATTGTTTCTGGAATTCTCCCCTGAAAGACTCTGTGAAAAACCAAATTGAGCAGGGGCTGCAATAAGAAATAAGGGAAGGCAAGAGGGAAAAAGATTATTGCTGAAACTTCACTTACTCAGACACAAATACAGTACTCTGACATGCATTATAACACGAAAACTGCAGTGAAATAGGAATTCCCAGTGTGCTGTGGGTGGGGTAACCAAAAGAAAGAGACAATGGAGAGGAGTGGCACTAAAAAAGGGAATGACAGGAAGGATAATTTTGGAAAGTTCAGTAGTTAACTTATTAAGGAATCAAAGGATATCGGATCCTTCCATTTATAGATTGTGTACAAGTGTAACTTCTCCATGGTCTTTCTTCCAAATATGACTAGATTGCATGTCCTGCAAGTTTTTTTTTTTTTTGGTACTGGGGATCGAACCCAGGACCTTCCGCTTTCAAGGCAGGCGGCAGAACCACTGAGCTAAATCCCCGGCCCTCCTCCAAGATTTTAACTGATGGAAAACTAATCAGCCATCAAGTACTTATTGAGCTAAACATGTCCAACATTTAAAAGTGTGTTTGGGGGCTGACGATGTAGCTCACGTGCTTAGTGTGCAGGAGACTCTGGGTTCAATCTCAAGCACAAAAAACAATACTATGTTTTGATAGAATAAGTAAATTAAAATGCCATTAGCATGAATAAATAAAACTTACTATTTTCAAGATTTTCAATATGTAGGGGTCTGATGGAAATATTTCAGTTCACATGAAACATTTTAACCAATGTTTTTTACCAATACATTAACACATACACAAGTGGCTTCTTCAAGCAAATCACTAAGAAGAAGTAAAAAATGTCTCCTCTCTCCCATCAAGTGTGGGAAGCCCTGATCTGAAGGTAATTCTCTAAGGACTGGCTGCACTACCATTTCTCATCAATGGGGCCAGCCAAGGGCAACAGTATCCAAGGGGTGGTAAGAATGAGGCTCTTGTTTCTGGAAATCAAAAGGACTAAATGGAAGCTGGGCTGCCGTTTTACAAGCACAAGACCACTAATCCCCTTACCTTACCATGGATACAAAATCATGTTGTTCATTTTTAGATCACAAGGCTTATCCCTGAATAATTAAGCAGAGGAAGAAATCCATTACAGGCCCTACACCATTTTACCTAGAGAAAGCCATGCCTCAGTTATACATCTACCTCTATGAAAAGTAAAAATGATCTAAAAGGCAAAATTTGAGTAAACTAGGTAGATAAATTTCTCAATTTATCTGAGAAATACACTAAACTTTAAACTTAGATCATAGCTTCCTAAGAATTCATTTAGAACATTTTAAAAGCCATGCAAAAACTGTTTTAGTGAGCCTGCCCTAAATTATATTGCAAACAGCTGAAACTACCATGTTGCAATCAATCTTCAATCCTACTCTCAAGAAAAGCTCAAGTAACCTAATGTAAAGAAACCAGAACTTTCTCTTAAAATCATTTTCCCTTCCTTCATCCATTCTAAGAAAATCCAGCAAATACCAAGAAAACCATTTGCGAAGATTTGTAAATAATTTTTGAAAGAATTCCCTGGTTCCCATCACATTTAGTCCGCCCGCTTATAATGTCTCTCACAGCCAGGTTCATGGCTGTGCCCCTGGGGCACTGTGGGCCCTCGGTTATGCATCAATTTAAATCAGTGGCCAGCACATAGCAGGTTGTTGATGGAAGTTACTTAATTCTGAAGATCAGACCTCGTGGACCACAACGAAGGAAGAAGTACACGTCTCCCACACCATTGCCTTGGGCCCCTCTGTCAGCTCTCAGCTCCCCACAGCATCTGGAGCAGATGGTGCAGCCTTCCTGTCTCTTCCAGCGACTACAGCATCCAGGCCAGGCTAATCAAACCTGCCTTCCTGCCTCTCACAAGCAGCTGCTCTCCTTCCAGCCCTTCTGGCCCAAGCAGGGGCCCTGGGAGGTGGGCTCCAGCCTTTCATCCTCCCCACTGCACTTCCACCCTACACACCCTCCCCCCATGCTTCCCTCTTGCTCATTTACAAGTGGGAAAGGGACAAGAGGGATCAGACACATAAGAAAAGGCAAAGTTGGTCAGGGATTTAGCTCAGTGGTTCCCCGCCTGCCTCCCAAGCACAAGGTCCCGAGTTTGATCCCAGGTACCAAAAAAGAAAAAAGAAGAAAAGAAAAGAAAAGAAAAGGCAAAGTTCTCTGATCTTGGCTAAAGTTCCTGTTATGGGTGTTGCACTCTGACCGCCCTCTTCCACCCACTCGACTCCCCCTCCAGTGGTGCAGCTCCAGCCTTGCTCCACTGCCTTGCCTTGCCCTGCAGATGGTTCTCAGCCCAACAGGCAATGACTCCATCCAGCTCCCCTGAGAAGCCTCCTCTTGGCCCCAGGAACACATGCAGGCTCAGACTGCTGAGAGCTGCCCTCACCTCAACCACAGGGGTCTCAAGCAGCCTTCCGCCTGTGGGCTTCTCCAGCTGAGAGGCTAGCACCAGAGGCTAGCACCAGGGTACCTTCATGCTGACTGCAGACCCCAGCCCACACTCTAGAACCCCAGTCACTGCTGTTCTGGTGCCAACTTGGGGGAGTGCTGAGAATGTCTGCGAGTTGGGGAACATCCAGCCAGGAAATCAGATGCCAGTCTCCCCTCTCATGCACAACTCCACCCTTGAGGAGCAGTTCTCTGCCTGGGTTAAGGTAGTCAGGCAAACAAACAAAGGGATCTCTCCAAACACATCCTCACTGGTATGGAATCTACAGCTAATCCAGGCTAGCTGCAGGGACCCAGCTGTCCACACCCACACTCGTGCACACGTGCAGGAAGCCATTCTGGCCCCCCGCCCTGGGGGCGGCCAGGGTGGGGGGACTGCCACAGCCCTCTCTGCAGGCTCAAGTCCTCTGCCACTCTGACCCTCCTAGGGAACCCTGGCTTCTCTTCCACTGCCTGGCTGGGCTGATGGTACCCTGAGCAGATCAGCTCTGCAGCAAGTCCTGCATGGACTCAGCCAGGGCCTCTCTCTAGAAGTCACCTTCTCTTTCTTAGCCAGTCAAAGTCACACTGTAAGAATGTGCCAGCCGTAGGTTTCCAAACATGAAGAGGCAACCTCAGGAGATAAGGAGCTCTGTATGAGTGCCAGGGATTGAACTTGATATGAGAGATATTGTAGGAAGGATTGGGTCAAAGCTGGGATAAAAATGAGAGTATTCATCACTCTCTTCATTATTTGAATAGCTTAAGTTTCAGTTCAATTTGTTTTATTCTTTGTGCTAAACAGCATCTTCAAAGTCTTCCGCAATACTTGTGTATAATCAACAAGGGAAAAAACAGCAATAAACAGCCAATGTCCAAGATTTGGATCCAGAAGCCACCGTAGAAATGATATTTACCGCATCCCAGACTTCAACCTCTACACATGGCAACAAGAGAGCTTTTAACACCAAAAGGTTTTAAAACTGACCCACTTGCCAAGTGCCTGCTATCTTCCACTGATCCACCATTGTAGAAAGAGGCAGCCTCTCTGCAAAGTGACTTTCAATCTTATCTTTCACTACATGCTGCCCTTTCCCAAAGGAGAAGACTGTGCATGGAGAAATACAGCCTCCTTTATGGCCATGTGTGCAGAGTCTCTCCCAGCATGTGGATATCCTGAACATATTTTAAACAATGTCTTACACATATCCTGCTATGATTCATTTCCCTGACAGCATCACTGCCAAGACTCGTACTGCTTGAGCCCTCACAGCAAAACACTTACTGACCCCTGGTATAGTTGTGTACTTATCGTTCTTTACAACTGCTAATAAAGCTTCTATGTATCTTGGATGCCCAATTCCGAGTAAAACACCTTTCAAATAAACCAGATCAGATATACATACACTCCTACAATATTCTAGGTTCAGAGGACAATATGCCAAAGCTGAATTCCTCAAAATTAATCTGAAATGTTATCTTTTCAATTCATTTTTCCTAAGAATGACAATATTGAATTTAACAGAATCATGTACCAAATGAAATGCAGGTGCTTAGAGGAAGTGGCAGTGCCAGGAATACAACAATGTATAAAATCTGGTTGTAGGACGGACTAGTGGGAAACATGAAGACAGTACTTGAGTTAGCAGTGTAAGGCTGTTTTCCTTTTTCATTTTTTTGCAATGTGATCACCTTATTTTTATTGAAAAAAGTTATAAATAGTTGTGGAAAGAATGCTACAGTTTAATGCCATAAAGTAAAGTAAACATATTTTTTCTAAAATCATTTATAAAATTTATGAATCATAAAAATTTATTTAAAAATAGGAAAGGACAAACTTTTATTTTACCATATACATTCTTTTAAATTTTTAAACATATAACTATTTATTTAAAGTATATATTATTAAAATATATGTGGGTATGTACACACGAATACATATATTATGTTTATTTTGCTTCCTCAAGTTCCACTCTTCTGTTTTATTCTTTACATTTACAACCCATGCATCAGATACCTCGAGTTTGAGGGAAGCCAATAGTAGTAATCCTCTGCACCAGGCTCTGAATCATTGTAGAATTCAGACTGAAGAATAAAACAGATAGGAGACCAAAACAAAAGGCTGGGCTATAGCTTAAATCACCAGGCAAATTTTCTTTCTTATTTTAGAAAATCCTGAAATGAAATAAATTCCCCCGACTGTCTTGGGTAGAGCTGAGCTGAGCCGAGGCAGGCAGCAGCATGTGCTGGAGTAACATGTAAGGCGGGTAACAGCGCCTATGATGTAAGTGCTCTGGAGCTGTCAGCCAGCAAGCACAGCACCAGAGGTGTGTGTGCCACTGGCTGAGAGGCCTGGTTCTGTACTAAGCTGGGAAGTAGCACCCTGAGAAAGCCGGGGGCGGGGGGTGGGGCAAGCTGGCTGTCAAAGAGAAAGGAACTCACACCCAGGTTCACCTCCTAGCTCACCAGTCAGAGCATCATTTCAGCTTTCCAGGGAGGCAGGACAGAGAGACCAGGAGTGTTACCCTAACCACAAATCAAGAAGGAAGGAGATCCCATAAACAGAGAAGGTTCCTTCAGAAGAACAGAAAATATTCGAAACTATGAAAAGTTATACCAAGAGCTTTTAAGAAAGCAAGGTATGGGCCAGGGATTTAGCTCAGTGCTGCCGCCGCCTGCCTCACAAGCTGAAGGTCCTAAGTTCGATCCCCGGTACCAAAAAAGAAAAGAAAACAAAGGTGTTATGATAGACACCAATTGTGGAGAAAATCTATACATAGTGTTTAGTTGATTTCCAAAATGAGAATGGAGTTCTTTACTATCTCTCTCTGCAAAAAAAAAAAAAAAAGTATAAAATAGAAATGCAGAAAGCTGAAAGCACATTACTGCAATTTGGAGTTTATTTCTCTTCCTGTCACCTTCTGAGCAAAGGGCATTTCTAAACATGATATCATATAAGCTATAAGCTGAGCCACATTACAAAAGTTCTTTGGAATATTACATGAAAATGTGGGTCTCCTAAAAAGTGATGAATAAATTATTTTCAAGATCAAGGTTTGAGGGCCGGGGATTTAGCTCAGTGGTTCTGCCGCCTGCCTCACAAGCACAAGGTCCTGCATTCTAACCCAGGTATGCCCCCCAAAAAAAGATCAAGGTTCGAAAAAATGCACTGTTTCAAATAATATTTCAAATAATCAGTTTAGATTTTTCACTGCTTACTCTGTTGCTTCTCTGTTGGGAACTTTTCTCATGGAGAAAGCCACCATTGCTCTGAAGAGATATTCTTCATTTTTATCCCAGATATACTGAAAGAGAAGGAAAACAGAAAATGTAGGTGCATGAGGTAAAAAATGGTACATTAGATGGTGAACTCATTCCTCTCTCTCTCTCGCTCTCTCTTCTCTCTCTCTCTCCTTTCTCACACACTGAAAACTAGAGACCGTGACAAATCAAGTCTCATAATGTCTTGGGTAGCATATCTTGGGCATTCTATAATTCGAGGTATGGTGTGCTTCCTGTTGTAAGATCAGTAGCCATGTGGTACGTATTAGTTGCACTTATTCCCCCATCAGTTCAGATTTCTTGGTTCCTTGATTTATTGATGTGTGCTTCAGGACCCTAAATCCCCTAGCTCACCTTGCTTTTTGCATGCATCTAAGGACACTCCAACCACAGCTAACACCTTATTTTATGTGAGTATGAAAGTATAACTGGAGAAAGTCATAAAACAAGGTTTGTTGGTTTAACCCTAAATTCACCATGTCCTCCCCCAAATTTCCCGGGAATCCCTTAGGTTTCTCTGTCAGTTCTCTCTCTCATGAGTCCCATGACCATTTCACGTTTCCTGCAGGCCTCAGCTTTTCTTCATCACTCACTCACTAGATGATTTCTTTTAGAATTTATAAGCCCATCTAAGACATCAATGTAAACTCCCTCTTCTCCTGATACCAAGATATCGAACTTCCTCCCTGGACTCACATCCTATCCATCTCCTCCCCTGAAATGCTACACTTGCATTTCTCTCCCATCAGTGGCTATTCCCTTCACTGCTTTGAAGAATGCCTCCACTCTGCCCTTCTCACGATCTAAACAGTACCAGTTTCCCCTCTCTCTTCTGTCTATTCCAATCTACCCCAGCCTGTCCACTAACTTTTTAGCATGCTCAAGTTTTTCTCATTAAAACAACAGCAAGCTGGGTGCCATAGCACACATCTATAATCCTAGCATTCTGGGAGGCTGAGGCAGGAGGATTGCAAGTTCAAGCTCAGCCTGGGCAACTTGGCACGACCTTGTTTAAAATTTTAAACAGAATGTGAGGGCTGGAGATGTAGCTCAGTGTGAAGGCCGTGGGTTCAACCCCCAATACTACTAAATAAATAAATAACTTCACTCAATCTTTCATCTACCTACTGCTGTCTCTCTACACTTCACAGCCAAAATTCTTAGAATTGTCCATACTTCTGTTTCCATATACTCTACTTATTCATTGCCCATTTAACTCCATTTAATATCTGCTTTCCAAACCCACCACCCTGGAAAAACAGCTCTCTCTCTCTTGCCATTGACTGCCACACTGCTTAACACAATGAGCAGTTTTCAGTCTGCATAATCCTTGGGCTCTAAGCAGCATCTGATGCTCTTGAACTCTTTCTTCATTTTGAAACAAGAGTCCCTGCCACAGCTCACATACTCCCTGGCTCAGTCCCTTTCTCGCCAAGCTTATCACATGTCATGCTCCTCTGACTGCCCCGATTCCAGACACCTCAGCCTTCTTTCTGTCCTTCACACTTACCAAGCTCCTTCCTATAATAAGCCTTGGCATGTCCCTCTGCCTTCCCTTCTTTGGTCCTCTAGTTCACTTGCCAAGGCCTTCCTATAACATTGTCAAGACGGCATGCATGTTTGGTGTGTTGAGTATTTAATGGCAACAGATTCTCTTACTACAGTAAGTTCCACAGGGAGAGGACAAGCCCACTGCACTGCCACTGCATACCCACCATCCAGCATGGTACCCGCTCTGAGGATCCTGGGATGAGAAACCCTACACACTGGTAAAGAGTATGGATTGTACAGTCAGGCTGCCTGAGTTCAAACCTTATCCCTACCACTTGCTGGACTGAGATGTTGAAAGGGTCACTTCACTCCTTGGGAGCTCAGTTTTTCTCATCCATCCAATGGGAATAGGAGCATCTGTATTATCTTCCTCAAAGAGCTATTGTAAGGGCTAAAAGAGCTGATAGAAGCAAAGTGCTTAGAAGGTTAGAAAGTGAATTCAGTTTTCAATAAATGCTGGAAGTTACAAGAATTATCACTCATCGAGTGAATAATAAAATGATACACTGATGGATTGCCCTGCAAATAGAATATCCCTAAATTCCTTTAGCACTCTCTTTTGTTTTTGTTTTTGTTTTGTTTTGTTTTGTTTTGTTTTGCTTTTGGCTTCTAGCCTGACTCATCATAATATCATTTGCTGGGGAAAAAATTCTGCAAACCACACTGGGAAACTAAAACTAGAATTAGACAATATTTTTGAATTTCATGGTCTTTACTGTTCTCATATCCACATGGGCCCTAAGACAATTTTTGGAACTTGTATTTCACAAGCATGTATTTCAAATTGTCACACTGATTATTGGAAGGAATTCAAACTTTATGTTAGAATTGGAAAATGTTTGTTCTATGAAAGACTTTATGTGAGTAGTACCATCCCTTCATTTTGGTGACTGGAAAGCAGATTGACAAAATTCAGATGACCACAAAAGTGAGAGACAGATCCAACCCAGTCCTGAATGACTGACTCTGGCCCCTTTACTCCATGATGCTCAGTCAAGAGATGGAAGGTTTCTAAATTATTTGGGGAAACACAAAACTTCACATATTTTCAAGCATACACTACAGAGCAAGTACTTTAAGAAAATCCATTTGAATACCAATTTCTACTCTATGACAAGCTACCTTTACTTTAGGAAAAGATCAGACTTGCAGTCTCTAGAAATAATGTATTCAAAATTAAGATTACCATGCAGAGAGGCCAATTGTTGAAGTAAAATGTTATTGCAAAGAAAATGTAAAATGAATATGAAGGTGCTTCACTTACTGCTTTATCTCCAAGAGCTGTTCTGATACTAAGTCTCACTTTAAAGGCATTTTCTGCATCTGGCAGAAAGAAAAAAGAAAGAGCAGTATACAATGATAAAATCTATCAAAACAGAGCCTGATAAATCCTAATATTTAATGCAACTCAGATCGACAGAACAGAGAACTAGTTAAACTATCCCCAAATAGCCCCACAAGTTTAATAGAAAACATATTATAGAGTCTAAATTTTTCTTTCTTTCAAACTCATAAAGCAGTCACAGGCTCCACTCTGAAGCCACAGCATGTCTGTAGATGGAGAAAAATAGAACTCTTTCAATCGATAAGTTCGTCAGTGATTTAGAAGTGCAATTTATTTTTAAGTTTCAAGGCTACATACCTGGTTGACAGAGTTCAGCATGAATAGCGGTCACTAGGAAAAAGAACAGCCACAACATTCTTTCAGAGTGAAAAACACAAGGCAAACTGAGACCAAAAAAAAAAAAAAATCCACCCTCCACTTAAAGCTGCCTTAGCCTTTCTGAGGCCCAGATTAGAATATCAGAGAAATCAGCAAACCACCATCTAAAAGGTTTAATAATTAACACTCATCACTTGGGTTAATACTTCCATAGAAGCAGACCATCTCCTGTCAGTTATTGACAAGAGATGTGTATGGAAAACAGAAACAGATCCATTGTTTTTACAAAACTCTGCGCAAAAGAATGCTTCCTCTGTTGACAGAACCAGAATCTTCCCCCCACTCCTTCTGCACTTGTCTGGGTAGGTGCTCCATAGAAAGAATCCAGAAAGCATTGAGTCCCCTCTGGAGGCTTTCCTTGGCAAAAACTTTCCACCTTTTCAGGCTACACCACCTGGCTCCTAGGCTATCTGAATCTGGGAGCAAATCACTCCTTTCTATCTCTGGTGAACAAAGGATGCACCTCCCAGAATGTCCTCACCCCACTGCACCATGGCAGGTAAACCTGCAGGACTCTTTCCATTCAAACAAAGGGGATGGTTTGGCTCCGGCCTGGGGCCTGGCAGCTGAGATCCAAGTGTGGGATATGGACAGCACTGCCCCACGGAACATTCTATGCCACTGGGCATGTGCCCTGACTGGGCTACCCAACGTGGGAGCCACGAGCCATAGGTGACAGTGGAGCTTGAAATGGGGCCGGTGCCATGGAGGACGCCAATGCCTAGTTCAAGGTCATTTGACTGAGTTGAGGCCACCACATGGGGCTAGTGACTCCTTTGTTCAGGGCAGCTGTCCAGCAGTGACTGACAGCCACCTGCCGAGACCTGGCTTCCCTGGATCAGTCCTCTAATCCTCCCACCTCCCACTGATTACAAATCACCAGACTCAGCAGGACCCCAGGATCTGGTGCTGAAGTTATGGGCAGCACTGGGCCCCGATCTCCACCACACTGAGCTGCCCTGCCCCTCTCTGGTCCTCCTGGGTCAAAACTGAAATTGCAAGCAAACCTCAGAGGTGCTCTGAGGATGAAGACAATGAGTGTAAAAGGCTCTCCCCTGGTGGGCATCCCACTGAGCCAAGAGAAGCCCCCAGCAGAATTTCCTATCTCCCATGCCCCTCTTCATGAATGCAGTCTCCAAATTACTGGCAAATCATGGATGGGAGCTTCAGATTGAGTGACCCCAAGGTTAAGCAGGAAATTTGGATCTTTAAAGCAACAAAGATCAACACCACCCGCTCTGCAGCACCTTGAGACACGTCGTCCACACTCCCTGCTCCTAGTCAGGGTGGAATGTTATTGACGGTGACCCATTTCGGCTCGCTAAATCCACCTGAGGAGTCTTTTCCCATCTCCTCCTTGGCTGCAAGGGCCCTGAGTCAGGAAAAGCTGGACCCCAGGGAGAGACCGCCAGGCCGGCCCGGCCCAGCCATTCTAGCAATTTCACTGTTAGTTGCAATGCAGATTTCCTAGGAGAAAGAGCTCACTTGGCTACCCCTGAAGAAATGCCACACTGGATGCAGTTATCTTGGGAAGGAAAAGTCAATACACACAGAGACAGGGACTGTAACAAAACATTTTATTTACACCAGAGACCAAAGCCATGTTAGGGACGCAGAAATCTGATTAAACTTTTCTTTAGTCTTGCATTTCATAAAAATGACAAATTTCTTCATATGCTCTTAATCATTTATGTGACTGGAATTGAAGACAGTAAAATACTGAGTAAAAACTCAGTGTAAGCCTTTAAAGGAGAACAAAACCTTTCAATTATGATTTTTTAATGTTTGTTCTCTCATTTTAAAAAGGTTTGATAAAAGTTCTGTATCGAAAATAGAGAGAAACAAAAAGAGAAACGTAAAAAGTACACATATATCACCAGCATGGATTACTAGTGATAATATATTTTAATAGGTGGAATACAGCTTCCTTAGCTTTGGGTCTTCTTGTATGTTTTTGTATGATGTTGTTGTCCTGCCTCATTATACTGCTACTATCAGAACATGTAATGGTGGAAATTAACTTGGACTTTTGTCTTCCTTTCTCTAATGGGAATGCTGCTACATCATAGAATCTGGTGAGCTGCTTTAAAATGATGTGTCATGTGTAAAACTATCCTTTTACTTCTAATTACCAAAAATCATTTTCATCAATTATTTTGTTGTTATTGTTGTTGTTGATACTGGGGATCGAACTTGGGACCTTGTGGTTTCAAGACAGGTGCCGGAGCCACTGAGCTAAATCCCCAGCCCTCATTTTCATCAGTTATTGATACTGTATTTTATGAACTGCCTTTTCATTATCTATAATGATGATCACAGGGTTTCTACCATTTGGTGCATTATACTAATACATTTCCCTACATTGATTCACTCCTTAAACTGACTTTTTAAAGTAATCTTTAGCATTTTGCTGAAATTAACTACTAGTTTTTAAACTTATTTTTGTAGAAGAATATCATGTAGGTTCCTGTTGAAATGCTGATTCTAGAAGGGGCTTTTTCCCCTAGCCCTTATATTATCATTTTCAAAATGATACAGAAAGATTTTTAACATTGTCTATGTTTAGAAATACTTAAAATGCATGCAAATGAAGAATTTGAACAAATGCCTGGTGTAAAGGCATTCTTTGAAAATTTCATTTCTTATATTATCAATTATTTCAGGCTTCAAACGTGTTTTGGAGTCCATTTTAACTGTTTATAATTTCCAAGAAGTTATTTATTTTTGTTAAATATTCCAGTATTCTCACGGGATTTCTGAAATATATCTCACAAAATATCTACATTAGGGCTGGGGATTTAGCTCAGTGGTTCCACAGCCTGCCTCATAAGTGCAAGGACCCAAGTTCGATCCCCGGTACCAAAAACAACAACAACAACAAAAAAACTACGTTTGTTTCTGTGCTCTTTTTATGTTTTATCGTGTGCGTATTAACTTCCTCATTTTTCATTAAACTTGCCAGAGGTTTACGTATTTATGTTGTAGTTTAATGAGTGAACAAGGCCATGCGTCCAGTTTAAATTCTCCTCTTCCTGTTTCCTCATTCATCAGTCTTATATACACTTGTCAAGCCCTTACTCTTGTACTCATTATATCTGATGTCTTATTTGTTTGTATATCTCTCGGTTAATAATTACAGTCCCTAAGGTGAATTTTCCTTAGAGTATTGTCTGGCAATATGGCATGGGACATACAGATATAAAGTGACCTCGTTCTTATTTTCGAAATAATTTACAATCATAGTTTTAATTTTTCCTATGTCTCAGTAATTACCTATAAAAGTGTATCCTGCAGCAAAAGAAACTGCAGACAGGAACAAGGCCATTCATAATACAGGCTTTTACAGGTTTCACTATGTGAATAAAAAGATAAAGGCTCAAATGACATACATGAGACACTGCCAACAGCTTGACTTCAAATGTAAAGATGGCACACGTTACTTTTCACACAGAAAGTACTGAAAACAAATTCATTGTTAAGTAGTTTAATGGAGATCTCAAGAAAGTAGAGCTAGCTTGTCTTCATTTTCTTACACTTCAAAAGCTTGCAGAAATTTAGTGTTTTGATGCATAGATTTTAAGTAGTAAATTTCCGTGGAATCCATATCTGTGTAACTTGCTTCATAAACTGCTCGATTCGGCAATTTCACACACAGGGGCTTAATAACTAACTGATTAGTAACTGTGTAGTGCCAACAAATAAAGAAGTTTCAAGCATTCTGAATATGTTACTACTGACTTCCAAACGTTCAAGTTTAAAGAGCAGAAATTAAAAGTTTAGATTATTGTTGCCATGAGCAACAAAAAAATGGGCATTCAGTCTCTTGAAACAGGAAAAAGAAATTGATTTCTCCATGTTTTTCATACTCCACAACACTACTGAAAAGCAGTTTCTGAGCACGTAACGATTGATCCTCTGCTCTGGGGCAAATAAAATATGAGATCCCATGAAATAAAAACATGTGTTGTTCTTTTGATTCATATGAGATGCTTTTTAAAGTTCACCAAAAGTGTAAAAGTGTGTGGGGATATGTAGACTCCACTGGCAATATCAGGAAACAGTTTTGCTCATCACCAATGCTCAGAAGAGAGGTCTTACTGGCATCAGACGGATGAAGGCCAGGGATGCTGCTAAATGTCTCCTAAACTTTACAATCATTCAGGCCTGCACTTCATAACATATTTCTCCTTGGAGTTGGATTGGATTGATGGAAACAACCCACACAGAGAACAGGAGATCAAAGGGAATCAAATATATATGGCATGGGTGTGTGTGTGTGTGTGTGTGTGTGTGTGTCTGTTTAGCATACTATTAGACCGCAACATCATTTATTCTATATTCTATAATTATTATTATTAAGATAAGCTGATTTATCTTTTTATTAAGATGGCTAATGAAAAAGTAATTTCCTGGTTATTTGAGTTCTGGATACATATGGGATGCCAGTTTACTAGCCCATGGTTAGGAAGTATCAGCACACTAGAAATACCCCATTATAATAGAATGCCCTTCCTACCTTCCATTGTCCTTCTCCTCATCATGTACACAGAGCAATTTTTACATTAAAATCATCAGAATGCCAATGCTGATATAAGAAAATTCAAATTCTTTGTCCTCTAAAGATTTGAATCCATCTTGCCTTTCACATGCAACTACACTCCCTCCCCCATCTAAGGCTCCCTCCCTCATCCTCTCAGCTGTTCTATTCTCCCAGCTAGGCCTCAGCTAAGCAGGGCAAGCTGACCATGTCTTACCTCTATCCTTTGTGTGTGTTTTTATGATTTCCTCAGCTTAAATCCTGTGAGCTTTCATTTACTTTTAAACATGCTGGCCATTATGCCAAGTCTCTTTAATTATTATCTCCTTTGAGAAACTTTTCTTTTGCTTTTGTTGTACAGTTTTATCGTTGACTTGTCTAATCCACTAACTCTTCAGTCTCTCCTTCTCCTGTGTTCCTATAGCATTTATTTGCATTTGTACATCCACATATCGTTGACATGATTTATTTTGTGCCCTGCGAAATTGCAATTTTCTAGATGACAGAGACTATGTTAGATTCATTTTTACATGTCTCATGGTCCATGAATATTTCACAGTTTATGAAAATGAAACTAATTTAAATCATAAACTGGAATTCTAATAAGTTTGAGACTGGAAATGAAGTGCGGTACTATGCAGTGCATTGCAATTTTATTTTTCACATTCCTAGCCAGAGAAAAACAGCTCCCAGTTTCCTGGATAAACAAGGATCCCTGGGCTTTGGAATGTTTTTGTTTCCATCCCCCTATCTCATGCCCTTTTAAGATGAGAAAATCAGATGAAGCTAGGCTATTCACAAAGCTCATCAAATTTTGTAGGTTAATCAATAGCCATAACCATTATGAACTTTGTCTTATTATACACAGGTTAACATTTTTGTTCTCCAGAGAAAGTTAATCTCTATTGCTTACAAATAAAAATTAATAAGGATAAACTAGGTAAATGCAATTCTGCCAACTTTATATACCTAAGATAGGAATTTAAAGGAGAGTTGCTTAAACAGGACATATGAATGTCTGTGTGCCTTGGCCATGAGACTGATACTTTATAATGAATCTCATGCAATAAAAGACTTCATCGACATTTCTTCCTACATACTGTATTTATCTCTTTCCACCACTGCTCAGGTATGTTAAAACAAAAATTACAGGAGGCCATTGTTTTGGACCCAGGTCCTACACTAGTTCCAGCAACCCACACCCAACCAAAATGGAGTCAGTCATGCTAACTGCCACATGACCAAACAAGTTTAAAGAGAACAGATAGATCCCAAAACAAACCAGGTTTTCCTGAAAACAGGCTATTTACCGGAGTTAGCATACATAAGAAAAGTCCCTTCTTCTTTTATAATCCTTACAAAAGAGTCACCTAAAGGAACTTGATGTTGACCAATCAGTATTTTTTCCATGTTTCTACTTTTTCCGTTTCCATCTTACAAAACTCAATGTTCTGCTGTAGCCCACTGGGATCTTTCATGGTTGGTAGAATGGAGGCGGTCCCAATTCACGAATCACAAATAAAAATCAATTTAATTTATACCTAAAGTTGTAATTTTCTCTCTGGACAATTTTTGAGTTTTCTCCTGGTTTTGGCAAGCCATAATTTTTTTTTCTCAGCTAAAATTATTGTAGCCATGCTCTATGGAGTAATGTTACTCATCCTTAATTATCTATTTTGCTGCCTACTGGAGGTTACCATATCCTGTTTAATCCTGTCTACAGGTGTTTCCTCTGTCAAGCTCCGCAAAGGAGTGGTGGTGGGGGGCATTGGGCCATGTAACTTTTAGACTATATGTTATTTTCATAACTGAAGCTTAAACACCTTCATTCTGGTTAATATAAAAGATATAAATTAATAAACATCTCAGAGTTCCCACTGTAGGGTTTTGGCCAGCAATAATGAACTTGAGCCATTTACTGTACTATCTGCATTTCATCAGTCTTACAATGAAGAATGTTTTTGTGGACTCTTGTGAACACAAGACCCCTATTACTACAAATCAGAGATGCCAGATACGTTGTTGTTTGGACCTAACTAGCCTATGGCCACAACAGACATTATTAATCTATTACAGAACTTTTTTCTTCTAAACATGAACTCAGCCATAAAATTTCCCAACTCAGTTATCCAGCTAGCTAATATGAATAGTGGCAAATTGACATGTGGATTGAAACTTATTTGCCAGCACCTAAACGCTACCTTGAATTAAGCCAGATCGTTGGAAGTCTGGAGTCTGGGTACTCACTTGAACTGGAAAGTTTGGATGGTTCAAAAAAATCAGTTTAATGCACTGTGCTTTGTGATTGTGGCAATAGTTTACAATAAGGAAATCCAGTGAACACTTATTTCCCACCTAACTCAGCATCATCATAATGAGGAAGTGGAACTTCTCTTGGAACAAAAAAATTAAGACAAACTGTGCTTCTCCAAAAAAAAAAAAACCTAGCTGGTTTTTATAAACACCGTAAAGCCTTAACTAATTGTTATTTCCTCTTTTCTATGGCCATTTGGAAGCTCCGAGTCAAATCTATTGCTCAACTTCAACTATTGCGCTGGATCTAATGGTGTGCAATTGGCTGTCTTATTTATTCTCCCTCAATGAATCTTCCCCTTTGGTTCTTTCAACAATTTCTTTCTATACAATGTTGTCTATATTTTCGTGAGTTGCTTCATACCCTTTGTGGAAGAAGATGAAATATAACTAATGCTATTATAATCAAAGAAGTGACTTAAAAGGGTATATTTGGTCCTATTTCCCATGAGTTTATTTTTTCAGGCAAAAAAAATGGCATTTAAAACATTTTATATAAATGAGATAGTTTGCAGGGCCAAGGTGAATTTAATAAAAATGTTTTGCTGAAAATTGTTCTTCACTCTGTGCTTTTAGTTCAGCATTACGAACCCCATACACATATCCCATCGTCAATGCAAACGTGGATCGGAGGTGGGAGAGAAGGGAACTATTTTATATGTGATCATAAAATCTTAATTGTTGGCTTATGTAGAATTATATATAGGAAATCCTACTACCACCAATGGGAAAACTATAGCCCTGTATCCAAGTGAAAAGGGCGAATTTTCAAGGAAGATTTACTGAGAATGTATTGGGTAAGGGACTGCTGTTAAGTACTATGAGAGTGGCTCCCTTTGTTTGCTGCCCCCGAACACTCCTAATAGTCAACAGACCAGCACTTAGCGAGTCCATTTCCCCCTATCAACTCCCTTACCACGTGTCTTTCACTTTCTCCTTTTTTGTCCCCATCCAAGTTCAAGGCGGGGAACTTCAGGCTGTAAGCTTCTCGAAACTTGTCACTGGAACACAGTACTGTACTCGATAAATCTTTTTTTGGGGGGGGGGGGTAACCAGGGATCGAACGCGGGTCCTTGTGCTTGCAAGGCAAGCGACGGAACCACTGAGCTAAATCCCCGGCCCTCGATAAATCTTTTTTGAATAAATGAATGACTGAATGGCGAACAAAAAGCATCCTTCCTCTAAGTAGTGCCCGTTCAAGGATTTCTGGTGGTGATGGTGGGGGGGGGGGGCTGGTAATAACTTCCTCTTTTTTTTCTCGTGGATCCAGAACTGTAAATGGCGAAGAAGAAAAAAGTAGTATCTGAGCAGGGGGGTGCAATCAGAAGTGCCTAGAAAAAGTCATCAGGAGCACACAGCAGGAAGTCGAGGAGTGTGCCTGCTTCCCACATGGGCCAGCATTTAAAATGTGCTGAGCGGCTGGAAGAATCATGGGTCCTGTTGGCCCTCTAGGTCGGATTAGAGGACGTGAAACCTAGCTAAAAGAAACAGTTTTACCCAGTTCTACCACTGATCCTCCAGTTGCTTTCTATCCGGTTACTGCTTACCGAGGGATGATGTGAAACATGGGAGAAACAGGAAGAAAGTCATTTTTTAGAGTATCAGGAATCCGCAGGTTTGTTTCACCTATAAATGCTACTGAAGTCTAGCTCTGGGACTAGGGCGGTTTTCTTAAGAGACATGCTCATTCCCTAGGAAGGGAAACCGGTCCCAGCGAGCGAAGCCCGATAACAGGAGACGCGAGAGTGGATAGCCCGGGAACTTTGGGCGAGGGCGGGACGCAATGGAGGTGAATGCGCATGCGCTAGACGAGAATGCCCAATGGAGACCCTCCAGGCGTGGCATGCAGGCAGAGAGGACCTCAGTGATAGACCGGGACCGAGGGGTGAGGAATACAGATGGAAAGGGATATGACGTCACCGGTGGGACCTAGCCACCCTGGGAACAGCCCCTCCTGGGAAAGGGGCAGGCCGCACGGCCCAAAGGAAGGGGCGTGGCTTAAGAGAGTGGCCACGGCTGGACTTTTAAGAGTCAGATGTCACCGAAGTGTGAGGGGCGTGGCAAATGGACGAGGTAGCGGGAGGGGCGGACCCAGGTGGAGGGCAAGTTTCCAGACTGGAGAACAGGGACAGAGGCTCCAGGGGGGAACTTCTGGCGGATAGCAGGAGCGAACTCGTGAGCAGAGGTATGCGAAATGGGCTATGCTCAGGGACGTGGACTGGGCGGGGCGTGGAGGCGTGGCCGTGGAGGGAGGCGGGCCGGTGACGTAAGGAAGGAGGGGCAGACGTAAACGGAACGCGGAGACGTGCCTTGGACGTGGGGGTGTGGCCCGGTCGCTCTCCTGCGTGCTGAAGATGGTGAGAGAGACAAAGGGCGACGGCAAGCTACGAGTCGCCGCGTGGCCACAGCGGGAGTATCGTGATCGCTATAGACATGTACCGGGGTAGAAAACAGGTGCGGACCCTCGCGCGGGTAAGGCAAAGGGCAAGTAAGGTCTCCGGCGCCGGATGCAAGGCCGGGGCGGGACTTCCGGCTTTCTGGGGACCGGAGGCCGGGCGGGGGCGTGGCCTAAATAGCGAAAGTTTTTCGGCGTGAGGGGGTGTGTCCAAGATGTCCGCAGGCTAGAGCCTCGGTTCTGGAGAGCGAGCGACAGTTCTGGCTCCGGTAAGAGCAGGCGACGATGTGCAGTTTAAGTAACAGGAGAGTGTAGTCTGCCTGAGAGGAGAGAGCCTAGTCCATGCCCGCACACACGACCACGCGCCGCGATGGGCCCCGAATTCGGGGAAGCTCTCGGTCCCGCTTAGGTCCAGGGTCCTGGCGGGGTTAATCTGGGTAATGGGAGCGGGAAAGGGCCGGCTAGAATAGCTCCTTCTCCCCTCCAGCTCTCTTTATCCAGTGGAAGGGTCACCAGACACCCTTTTAGAACTCTGCCCATTTAAAGGTAGAACAGTTGTTCCACAGACTTAGGGGATAAGGAGACTGCAATTCCAGAAACCAAGGTGCTGCAAACTGTGGCTTCTTCCGATGTGCATTACCGGACTTCCCCCCTGACTGTGCCAGGGCCAATGGACAGAATTACAGCCTCCAGCAGGCATGTGTCCTGTGATCAAATCTTCCTTCTGTCCTTTTGCTTTTGTGCTCTACTCCAGAGCTGGAGGACAGTAACCTCCAAAATACAGATACTATTATTGGTGGCTGAGATTTTGTGTCATATTCAGCGTTAATGCTGCTGCTGTGAGGCTGCTGGAAACTAGTTACTATTAGAATCAGTGTAATTCACGTTTGTACGAAGATCTTGAGGGAGTTAACAAAGATGTGCATGCCTTAATTTAGTTAAAATTTGTTGTGTCAGCCACTGAAAACCACATTCCTGTGTGCTGCGTCTGCTTTCTTTACTGATGATCTGCCTTTCTCTGCTCTGCTATGTAAAAGTCTTGCTGGAAAATGGAGAACAGCCAGAAATCTCTGCTGAGAAAAGAAGCCCTGTGCATCTCAAAGCAGTTCCTTCACAGCCTGTTTGGGAATCCACAGTGAACCAACGTACACCCCTCTCACCCTCTCTGCTGGGAGCTGGTAAGAAGCGGCACTATTTTTCAGTGTTTTGAAGGATTTCCTCCTTCGCAGATATTTTTAAATCACCTGGGCTGGAATTCACCAAAAGGCCAAAAGCAACAAGGGCACACTTTTCTGTGCCTATACACAGCCATCCCGTTCTCCTGGAGCGAGGCAAAAGGCTGCCATTGCTTAGAGTTGGAATGCAATAAGGGTTAAGTAAATTGCGAGTGAAAATGAACATTAGGGAAATGATGGAGGGTTGAGCATTGCATTTCATTGGCCACACTGGAACAGTTAGCTGCAACACAAATGAAATATGAGAAGTGTGTTTGGAAACCTTTGGCAACCCCAAATTGGTATCATGCCTTCAGAGAAGAAGTGGGTGCAGTGTGGGCTAAACTTTCTTAAATGACAAAATAACCTCTTTAGGTCTCAGGGGCTTGCAAAAGGCTGGCTTCCTTTTGAAGTCAGGTGAGAAAAAGAATGGTTAGTGTGATAACAGTCAAGGAATTTTTCAATATAATTGCAGCCTTTTATCAGTACTTTTTGCTGCCTTTTGCATAAGTATAAAAAAGGGCTAAGGATGTAGCTCAGTGGGAAGACACTGGTTCAGTCCCCGGTATTGCAAAGAGAGAGAGAGAGAGAGAGAGAGAGAGAGAGAGAGAGAGACTTAGAATCTTTTTTTGTACACATTTCTAAGTCTGCAAATCAGCCGATAAGGTGCATGTCAGTAAAGTGCAAGCCATGCATAAATCATCAGTGAAAGCAAAGAATGGATAGCACCAAAAGCTTAGCTCTCATAGAACCATCTAGCTGCAGACTGATCATTGTTCAAATGGAGCATTGGAAATATGGGTGATTTGTTGTATTTTTATCTTTTTTTTTGGTTCCAGGATCAAATTCGGGGCCTTACACTTGCTAGGCAGGTGCTATGCTGCTGAGCTACATCCCCAGCTGTTGTGTTATTTTTACTGTACTTAAAGTTTTCACTAATAAGGGAGAAAAAAGAGTCAGATTCTATATTCAGATAACTCATACTTATTGCTTTTTTTGTTTTGTTTTTTCTTTTGGTTTTTTGAGACAGAGTCTCGCTTTGTAGTTCTGGCTAGCTATGAACTCACTATGTAGCCCAGACTGGCCTCAAGCTCTCAGAGATCTTCCTGCCTCAGCCTTCTGAGTGCTGGGATTACAAGCATGCTGGGAATACAGATACCTATTGCTTTTGAAATTTCCTCAATGAATTAAGGTAGTGAATATATTTAAAAATTAGGTGCTCTTGGGCTGGGGATTTAGCTTAATGGTTCCGGCGCCTGCCTTGCAAGCGAAAGGTCCCGAGTTCGATCCCTGGTATCAAAAAAAAAAAATTAGGTGCTCTTAATCTGGCTTCAAGTACTGTCAAGATAATGTATGGAGGCTAGGGATTTAGCTCAGTGGTTCCGCCACCTGGCTCACAAGTGCAGGGACCTGAGTTCAATCCCCAGCACCAAAAAAAAAGATAATGTGTGGAAAGTTAATTAACAGTCTGTCTTTTAACACGTTCACAACAGCTTGTAATTTGTATGTCTCGCTGCCAGGCAGCTCGGAACCACTAGTGGTACATGCGTGATTGTGGTACAGGCCACCAGATGGGACAGTCACGCATGTACCCCTGGTGATTCAGGCCGGCAAGAGCATGTTAAATTATGAGCCACAATTTTACGTGGCTTTGTGACAAGGGGATTTCTCACCTCAGACATTTCGACATACAACTCTAAAT